ACTTACAACTTACAAATTTTTTGTTTGTTTTCTAATTAATTTTTATTGGAGTATAGTTGGTTTATAATATAGTGTTAGTTTCTGCTGTACAGCAAAGTGAACCAGTTATACACATACATATATCCACTCTTTTTAGATTCTTTTACCATGTCCATCATTACAGAGTATTAAGTAAAGTTCCCTGTGCTGTACATGAGGTCCTTGTTAATTATATATTTTATATATAGTAGTGTGTATACATCAGTCCTAATCTCCCAATTCATCTGTCTCTCCCTTCCCCCATTGGTAACCATAAGTTTGTTTTCTATACCTATGATACTATTTCTGTTTTGTAAATAAGTTCATTTGTACCATTTTTTAGATTCCAAATATAAGAGATACCATATGATATTTGTTTTTCTCTGTCTAAGTTACTTCACTCAGTATGAAGTAGTCACTCTCTAGGTCCATCCATGTTGCTGCAGATGGCATTATTTTGTTCTTTTTTTATGATTGGTACAATTATGATTTTTGTTTTTAAACATTATAATTTTGCTTTAAAAATTCACACGTAAGTTTTGTTTTAAAAATTCACATGTATTTTAAAGAAAGTAAGGGGAAAACATAGTTTTACTATTTCCCACATATATACTATCTCCAACATTCTTTATTTGTTCTTGAAGATCTGAATTTCCCTCTGATATTGTTACCTTCATTCTTAGAACTAATTTCATCATCTTTTGTTTTGTGGGTCTGCTGTGATGAATTCTCTGAGTCTCTCTTTATTTGAATGTGTTTTTGTTTTGTCTCCTTTTTAAAGAACAAACTTAAAATTTTTTTTAATCTATTTTTAAAATTAATTATTTATTTATTTCTGGCTGTGCTGGGTCTTTGTTGCTGCATGTGGTCTTTCTCTGGTTGCCCTGAGCTGCGGCTGCTCTCCAGTTGCTGTTCACAGGCTTCTCATTGTGGTGGCTTCTCTTGTTGCGGAGTAGTCTAGGATGTACGGGCTTCGGTAGTCGTGGCCCACAGGCTTAGTTGCCCTGCAGCATGTGGGATTTTCCCAGACCAGGGATCGAACCTGTGACCCCTTCATTGGCAGGTCCATTCTTAACCACTGGACCATCAGGGAAGTCTGCAGCTTCTTTGTTTTTTTTTTTGAAGGATATTTTTATTGATGATAGAATTCTGATAGGCAGTCTTTTCCCCTTTATCTGTGCTTTGAAGATATTGTTCAATTCCCTTTGGAATTGATGAGAAGTACATAGTATTTAGTATTGTTCCCTTGTATGTAATGTGTTCTTTTTCTCTGGCTACTTTAAAAACTTTTCTCTTTATCTTTGATTTCCAGCAGATTGACTGTGCTCATATTAGACATTTTTCTCTTTGTGTTTATCCTGTGTGGCACTCTTTAAGCTTCTTTAAATAAAAATCTATCTCTTTCACCAAATTTGGGAGGTTTCCTGTCATTATTTCTTCAAATATATTTTTCTGACCTATTTTCATTCTTTTCTCTCCTTTAAGGACAGTATTCTTGGGCTTCCCTCGTGGCTCAGATGGTAAAGAATCTGCCTGCAGTGTGGAAGACCTGGGTTCGATCCCTGGGTTGGGAAGATCCCCTGGAGGAGGGCATGGCAACACACTCTAGTATTCTTGCCCGGAGAATCCCATGGACAGAGGAGCCTGGTGGGCTGCAGTCCATGGTGTCGCAGAGTCGGACACGACTGAACGACTAAGCACACATGATAATCTCTAGGTCCACCCATTAAATGACATTATTTCATTCTTTTTTATGGCTGAGTAGTATTCCACTGTGTATTTATACCACATCTTCTTTATGCTTTTATCTGTCGATGGTCATTTAGATTGCTTCCATGTCTTGGCTATCATAAGTAGTGCTGCTATGAACATTGGAGTGCATGTGTCTCTTTGAATTATAGTTTTGTCTGGATATATGCCCAGGAGCAAGATTGCTGGATCATATGGCTACTTTATTTTTAGTTTTTTGAGAAGCCTCCATACTGTTTTTCATAGTGACTGCACCAATTTACATCCCCACCAACAGTGTAGGAGGGGTAAAGACCCTTTTTTCTACACCCTCTCCAGCATTTGTTATTTGTAGATTTTTTAATGATAGCCATTCTGACTGGTATGAAGTGGTACCTCATTACAGTTTTGGTTTGCATTTCTCTAATAATTAATGATGTTGAGCATCTTTTCATGGGCCTGTTGTTGCATTAATTGCTTTTTGAATGTTGTATTCATTCAGGCTTGGATACATGGGATAAGTCCTATTTGGTCACGAGGTATAATTCTTTTTGTACATTGTTGGGTTGTATTTGCTGATATTTTGTTAGGATTTTTGCATCTATGTTTATGAGAGATATTAGTTTTCTTTTTCTGTAATATCTTTGTTTTGGTATCTAGGTAATGCTGGTCTCATAGAATTACTCCCTCTGCTTCTATCCTCCAAGAGATTGTAGAAAATCAGTATAATTTCTTCCCTAACTTGTTCCAATTTTAGTATATGTGCTGCCGAAGCGAGCACTCCCTAAATTGTTGATAGAATTCATTAGTGAACCCACTGGGGTCTTGTGCTTTCTGTTTTGGAAGGTTATTATTTGTTCAACTTCTTTAATAGAGACAGACCTATTTAGATTGTTTCTTCTTGTATGAGTTTTGGAAGACTGTGTCTTTCAAGGAATCAGTCTATTTCATCTAGTTCTAGTTTAATTTGATTGTTGACTGTAAGCAGACATTGTGTGACTTCAAATAACAAATCTGAAATTTGTTAAGGTGTTTTATGGCTCAGAATGTGGTCTGTTGTGGTGAATGAACTTGAGAAAAATGTGTATTCTGCTGTTACTGGATGAAGTAATCTGTAAATGCCAATTATATCCTTTTGATTGATGGTGTTGTTGAGTTTGAATATATCTTTACTAATTTTCTGCCTGCTGATTTTCAGTCTTTGTTCTCTTTGCTTTTCAGATTTGGAGGCTTCTATTCGAGATATTCTCAAGTTCAGTGACTATTTTCTCAGCCATGTTTGGTCTACAAATAAACCCATCAAAAATATTTTTCATTTCTGTGACAGTATTTTTTAAAATCTCTGTCAGTCCTTTTTGGTTCTTTCTTAGGATTTCCATCTTTCTGCTCAAATTGCCCATCTGTTCTTGCATGCTGTCTACTTAATCTATTAGAGCCCTTAACATATTAACCATAGTTATTTTAAATCCCTGGTCTGATGATTTCAACATCTCAACCATGTCTGGTTCTAATCCCTGTTCTCTCTTCAAGTTGTGTTTTTTTACCTTTTGGTATGCCTTTTAATTTTTTCCTTGATAGCCTGAACTTGATGTAATGGTAAACTACTGTAAATCAGCCTTTAGTAATGTGGTGAGCTGTAGGGTGAGGGGAAACCTGCTCAGTTTACTCAGTTTACCTCAGGTTTACCTGTTCAGTAAACCTGCGACTAGGTCTGTCTTTTAGTGCCTTTGTTTCTGGACTTTACAAATGTTTCTCAGGTTTTGTTTTTCCCTTCTCTTTTAGGTGGGACAGGGTGTCTAGAGTGGGCTGGAGTTGGGTATTTCCTTACCCTAGGTCAATTTGACTCTGATGTTAACAGATGAGGCTCTGGTTAACTAGTTTCTCTTGAGGGCAGGCATTACTAAGAACAGAGTGTTCTAGAGTGGTTCAAAATGGTTCTTTTTCTTCATTTTTAAATTATGAAAATATGATAACACTAACATGGTTCTTTTTTCCCCTTCCCTTGCTGGAAACCCAAGGGGATTTTTTCCTCTGATTGTTACTTAGTGAATTTTTGTATTTGCCTATCTGCCTCTCCAGTGTTAAGGGCAATGATTTGCCCTCTGTGCTCACTTCCCTTAGGGATCCAACAAGAGTTGCTGGTTTTTCAGTCTGTTCAGGTTTTTACTTATTAAGATGGAGTGGCAGGCCCTCCTTACAAGCTCTTACATGAAAAATCAGACACTAGAAGTCCAACCCAGATGTTTTTCAAGTTCCAGTGTTAATTTCTTATTTTGACATAATTTCAGGCTTACAGTTGTGATTTTGGACTTAAAATTCTTTTGTCTTTTCTTTTCTTCCTGACTTCAACATTTTTAATGCATAGAGGTCAGTTACGTTATAGAATGTCCCTCAGTTTGGGTTCGAGATGTTTCTTCATGATTAGATTCTGGTCGTCCATTTTTGGCAGGAATACCACTGAAATGATGTTGTGTGCTTCTCAGTGCCTGTATCAGGGAGCAAATGGTATCAATTGACTTTCATTATGTGGTTAAGGTAGTGTTTAACACTGTAAAGATACTATTTTTCTATTTGGTGGGGAGGAGAGTATCTTGTGGGGAGACACATTAATACTAAGCACTTATTTTTGTCCCTGTCAAACTTTCTTGTGTGAGCAGTGATTAAAAATTCTTGCTTGAGTCAATTATTACTCATGGCAAGTGATAATTTTCTAATTTCATCATTCCTATGCATTTATTAGTTTGCATTTTACTGTAAGGAAGAGATTTTCCTTTTCCTTATTTATATCACTGTGGATTCATAGATTCTTATTTTATTCTGTGTTATTATTTATCTTGATGCTCCAGTTGTCCAAGATTTGGCTGATGGGAGGTCTTTCAGTTTTACTTCTCCAGTATCATCATTTTATTTTTAATTTTTATTTATTGATATGTATTTTTCTTGATTATTCAAGTAACACTTTTAGACAATTTACTAGACTGATTTAAAATCAGAGGGAAGGCTATAAAAATACCTATAATCCTCTTGTCTTCTATATATTAATGTATTTTCTTTCAGCCTTTTCCTTCTTTTCATTTTTTAAATTCTTTTTTTTTCCATTGCATTTTAAAATGTAGTCGAAATAGAACTAAAGATGGAAATTTATATCTGAGTTTTTTTTTTTAACCTATCATTGAAATGTAAGCATTTCCTGAGCTACTTAAGAACTCTTTGGAAACAATGTGTCTCACAGTTGATTTATCCCTGTGACCCAGATGTGCCTGTGCTGTCTTGGCACCTACTCACTGCCTCTGCTTTTGGGTGGCATCCTCTTTCCTCCTCTGAAAGAAAACTCCAGTTCCCTCTCTTCCACATCCTGTTTTTTTCCTTTTTGTTTCCATCACAATCCTTGCCTGTTCTCTTTAGAGCATTTGAAGAGCCAACAACAGGTCAGAGTGGTGGAAGCACAGAGGACAGAGAGGAAAGTGGCCCCAGATATGAGGTAAAGCACCATCCACTTGTTGGGGACAGAGCAGTGGGGTGGGGAGCACGGTTAGACTGTGACCAGACAAACCATCAAGAGATAATCACATCGGGAGGTGAGAAATGCTATGAAGAAAAATAAAAGTAGGTTGGATGGAGAGAGTTGTGGGTAGGTAGCTACTATTCTAGATAGGCTGGCAGGGAAGGCGTCTCTGGTGAGGTGATATTTGAGCAGAAACCTGAGTGTTTTACAGGTGAAATAGCTCAGAGAAGTAAAGCAGCTTTGCTAAGATTGGTTTACCAGGCAGATTTAATATTAAAGTCCTTTCTTTGATTCAGAAGCCCACTATAAATAGTACTATCCTCTGTATGGAGTATACCTCAAAGTTTTCAGAAACTTTTTATGTGTATTAGCTTGGCTATTTGTCTTTATCCCTTGCACTGAAACGTTTCTAAGAAGTAAAACTTATGTGAAAGATTCTTTTGTGCTTTGAATTGCAGTGGTGGTAGAGACAGAAATGGGTCTTCCCAGTGGTGGAGTGGTAAATAACCCACCTAACAATGCAGGAGACACAAGAGACGCGGGTTTGATCTCTGAGTTGGGAAGATCCCCTGGAGGAGGGCATGGCAATTCACTCCAGTATCCTTGCCTGGAGAATCCCATGGACAGAGGATCCTGGTGGGCTACAGTCCATGGGGTCACAAAGAGTTGGATATAACTGAAGTGACTTAGCATATACACACAGGGACAGAAATGGAAGGTTTCCTTAGGAGGTGTTGAGGATTGTTTTGGAACTCAGTCATCTTTTCACTCTAAAACCTAAAATATAGTTTTTGATGTCCTTCAGGTCTACTCACAAAATCAAACCCTCCATTGTGAAAGTTGGAGCTGCTCCTGAAAGTCTGCCTGAAATGGTGACAGAGGCCCAGGCTTCAGGAGTGTCATTAGGCAAAGTCTCATCTGTTGAAAGCTCCCCCGGAGGTCACGCTTTGGAAAACAAGGGCACAGGCACCTGGTCTCTGACGGCCTGGGTCTCTGAGGTCCAGGCTTTTGAGGCCCGGGCCGTGAGGGCTCAGGCCTGGGAGACACAAGCTTTTGAGGCTCAGAGCAGGGCCAGCCATCCCAAGGCAACCCCTGTCACGGGGGCAGGGGCTGCCCCAGTCCTAAGACAGGGATTCTTACCCGAGAACGTTCAGGTGCCAGGGGAGGAGAAGAGTGAACTCCTCATTACTCGTCCATTCTGGTCCAACAAGGCTGAGTACCTCCTGGCCCAGGTGGGCTATACCATGAGGCCGTCCAGTCTCTGGAGTTTTTGCTACCTGTGGCTTCACAGCGGAGGTGGTAAGTCTGGGTACCAGGAACCACGGATTCACAAGGGGCTAGCAAGATGGAGGCCTGTCTAGACTTCAAACTCCCAAGGTCTCTGGGACCTATAGAGGATAAAGATTTGGTATTCTGAGCAGAATAGGAGTCAGATGCCTGAATGTGAAGGGTCATAAGAGGGGTAGAGGTACAGAATATCTGAACAGGAGGATGGTGGGGCTAGAAGCCTGGATCAAGGGTGGTGGTGAAGACTAGATGTTTGGATCTTCCAGGAATTAGAGACCAAAGAACTGGACGCCTGGAATTGTAAGGGATGTGGAAACAGTTGACTCCTGATGCTTGTGCCTCTGAGGGAGGTCACTGGTGGGGAACGAGTTTTTCTGTACCCATGAAGAAGTCCAGGCACCAAAAAGCCAGCTGGTTCTGAGAGCTCCTGCTTGAATCCTCTGCACAGGCATTTTTCTCATCATCTACATCTTCTTGCTGTTCTTGGTCGGGATTCCTCTCCTCTTCCTGGAGATGACAGCTGGTCAGAGGATGCGTCAGGGCAACATTGGTGTGTGGAAGGCCATCAGCCCCTGGATTGGTGGTGTAGGGTATACAAGCTTCATGGTGAGGAGCCCTGGGCTGCCCTGGCCTACCCTTTACACCCCATCCCCATCCTAGCCCTCATCCTGGAATGGGTCAGATCCCTTCAGTTCCCCAGTCCTCTGTCAAATCCCCGCCTTGTTCCTGGCCCCTCCCTTCCTCCCTGGCCCCTAGGTGTGCTTCATCAACGGCTTGCTCTTGAATGTGATCACTGCCTGGATCCTCTTCTACTTGAGTCAGTCCTTCCAGTTTCCCATTCCGTGGGAGAAGTGTCCCTTACTGGAGAACGCCAGTGGCTTTGGTGAGGAGGATGTGAAAGATGAGAAGGGGGGAGAGCAGAGAGGTAGGAGGAAATTTGGAAGAGGAGAAAGGAGCAAGGAGTGATAAAGAAGAGGAAGATTGTGGAAGGAAGAAGAAACGGGGGGAAGGGGGAAGGAAGAGGGGGAAGGGGGGAAGCTAAAGAAGAGGGGAGGGGTCACCCTGTCCAGCAGGCCTGTCCAGAGCCAGGTCCCTGCAGATCCTGAGTGTGCACGGACGACGCCTTCCCTGTACTTCTGGTACCGGATGACTCTGAAGGCCTCAGACAGCATTGAGGACAATGGGCCACCAGTGCTGAGTCTGACCCTGCCCTTATTCGTGTCCTTGTGTCTTCTTGGTGCTTTCATGCTTAAAGGGCTCAAGTGGACTGGGAAGGTGAGCCACCCATTTTTTGATATCTTGACGTTCTTAGATGCTTTGGCCTTCACCTAACTTTGTTACTCTTTGATTTCCTAATTTTTCATTCCCTCTGACTTTTTGCTCCCAGTAGCTCCTGACCCCTGCTAGAAGCTGTCTTCTAACTCTTCCTTATTTCTGATTCAGAACTTTTGATCCTTGCTGATTATTGGATGACTCCCACTGGTACATGCTTTGTCCCACTCTCAATTCAGGTAATGTGTGTCTTGGTATCAACCAGTGGTCTCATAATGCTCTATCTTGTTGTGCGGAGTATAATGCTGGAAGGGGCGGTGTTTGGCCTTCACTATATGACAGTTGTCAAGGTAAGGTGTATCTTCCTCATTCCCCATCAGGCCTTGGAGGACATTTCCTGCCTATTCTTAGGCATCCTTTCCCCATTATCTCTCTCTGTGTCTCCTCTCCCCCATTTTAACCCTTTTAAGATTCTCCCCTCCTTCTTTGACATCTTCCCTTAACACTCGTCTTCTCCCTTTTAGATATCAACTATAGCCGACGCGAACGTATGGTGCGGAGCAGGGAGCCAAGTCTTATGTTCCTTGGGCCTCGGCTTTGGCGCCATTGTCTCCATAGCCTCGCACATGCAATCGTACAACAGCTGTCTCAGTGATGCCATTATTGTGGCTCTGGTTAACCTGGTCTCCATGATGCTTGTCACACCTTTTATCTTCTCTGTCTTGGGCTTCTGGGCCACACAGCTCACGCACCGCTGCAATGCGAAGTAAGGCCAACCTCTTAGTTGAGGATCCCAACCTCAGGGAACTACAAAACACAAAGAGCCTAACCTTAAAGTTGCTACAAAGACCCACATTCACACATCTCAATCTTAGGTCTCTTTGCAAGCCTCTACATTTCCCTACAGTGAAAAACAGAGACAGTAGAATCCCTGTCATGTATTATCCTGCTTAGAGCCCTTTTCTAGTCCTAGAAGTCTTCAAACTCTGAGAATGCCAACTCTTCACCTCAGAGTACCACCACAGATATATGAAAGCGTTCAAGGTTACTCTAGTCCCAGATCGCATCCAGAACCACAGTCATCTGTAGAACTCTCCACTTCTTGAATGCCTTCATTCTTTACTGTCAGCTCCTAAATTTAGGGATTTCTGTTAGTCTATCATACTTAAACCCTAAAAGGACTCTCAGAACTAGAGCCTTTATTTTTAAATTCTTTTTATTCTTTAATTCATCCCCATTTTTAATACTTTAGGCATTAATTTCAAAAACATTCATCAGACATTTAGAAAGTACTCTGTATAACATGAAGATTGGACAGGTGAATCAGACCATAGACCTTGCCTTCACTGAGTTTTAAGATTTGGAGGAAGAAGGGGAGGGGAATTAAAAACTTGATTATATGGTCTTAAACTCATTATAACCAGCAGCAGAAGTCATGGGGAGGACAAAATACAGAGCTATTCATTCCACCTGAGCTACTCAGAGAAGAACTCCCAGAGGAGGCAAACCTAAGCTGAATTTATTGCTGGTAATCCTAATCCATGCAAATGGCCACTGTTTTCCTTCTAGAAGGTTGGGCATATTTGGATGCACACCTGCAAGAGTTCTCTAATGTACATGTTTAAGAATGGAATTGCTGGGTAGGGTTGGCACACCTATAGACTTAACATACGTTGTCTGATTTTCAACATGGTTTATGATACGTGAGAATTCCGTATATTTCACTTTCTGCACAACACTCAATTAAACTTGGTCAGACTTTAAAATTTTGCCAGCCTGGTGGGAGTGTAATGGTATTTTTAGTATTTTAAAAAACATTTTATTGTGCATTACATACATATAGAGGGACTTCCTTCGTGTCTCAGATAGTAAAGAATCTGCCTGCAATGCAGGAGACCCAGGTTTGATCCCTGGGTTGGGAAGACCCCCTGGAGAAAGGAATGGCTACCCACTCCTGTCTTCTTGCTTGGAGAATTCCATGGACAGAGGAGCCTGGTTAGCTACAGTCCATGGGGTAGAAACATGCATAAAACAAAATGTGTAGCACCCATTGTAAACACTAGAATGACCTTGGAAGCGCTTCATGTATCTCTAATTATAACTTCTTTCCTCCTTCCTAGAGGTACCCATTATCATGACTTTTATGATCGTTACTTCTTTGTTTTCTTTACATTTTCTTATATGTATGCTTATCTAAGCAATATAGTTTAATTTGAACATTTACACAAAGCAGTAGTTTAATGTATCCATTTATGTTGTCTAATTTGTTCATTTACATACACATTTTCTTTGTATTCTTTTGTGTTTTACTTTTTTAATTCAACATATGCTTGAAAGATTCATCTGTATTGTTGTGTCTTCCTCTAGTCTGTGCTTTTTAATGCTGTATAATATTCCAGTAAATGAACATATCACAGTGTATTTACCTATGCTACTACTAGTGGATATTTGTACAATCTTTCTAGTTTTTGGCTATTGAAACAATGTTTCTCTGAACATTAAACATTTCTAAACATTATACATTTTCCTTGTGCACTACATGTGTGCACGTTTTTCAAGGGTGTATAAGTGAAATTGTTGGAGTGTAGTTATCTATTCAGTTCAGTTCAGTCGCTCAGTCATGTCTGACTCTTTGCGACCCCATGAATCGCACCACGCCAGGCCTCCCTGTCCATCACCATCTCCTGGAGTCTACCCAAACCCATGTCCATCGATTCGGTGATGCTATCCAGCCATCTTAGTTATCTATTACTGTGAGACAAATCACTCCAAAAGTAAGTGGCTGAAAACAGCAGTGGTTTGTTATTTCCTTATGATTCTGTGGGTGGACTGGAAAGTTCTTCTCCTGGGTGTGGGTGGGTTAACTCACATGTCTGCATTCAGCTGGGCCCTGCTGTCCATGGTGGTGGCTGGGCTCACTCTGCTTCACAGTTGGTAGGTCAGCAAAGCCTGTTCTCTTCCAGGAGGCCTCATCTTGTGGCTAGCCTGGGCTTCCTCATATGGCAGCTCACAGAGAATAAAGGTGGATTCAGAAAAATGTCTTGAAGCCTAAGCATGGGAATGCTCCTGTTGTCACTGCTGTTACATTTTTTTTGGTCAAAGGAATTGGCAAAGACACCCCAGATTCAAGGAGTGGGAAAATAGACTTTGTCTCTTGATGGGAAGAGCTGCTAAATACCATGACCATGTTTCTTCAATCTACTGCATCTATCTTCTGCTTCACTGCTGCTGCTCAGTCACTTCAGTCGTGGCTGACTCTGTGCCACCCCATAGATGGCAGCCCACCAGGCTCCTCCGTCCCTGGGATTCTCCAGGCAAGAACACTGGAGTGGGTTGCCATTTCCTTTTCCAAAGCATTGAAGTGAAAAGTGAAAGTGAAGTCGCTCAGTCATGTCTGACTCTTAGCGACCCCATGGACTGCCGCCTACCAGGCTCCTCTGTCCATGGGATTTTCCAGGCAGAGTACTGGAGTGGGGTGTCTGCTTCACTAGATAATGCAAATTGCTTTCCACAGTGTTGATAGGAAACACACTGTCTGTGTCTTGTCTCTCACACGCACCCACTGCTTAATTCCGATACTAGAATATGGCTTCCCCGGTGGCTCAGTGGTAAAGAATCTGCCTGCAGTGCAGGAGACACAGGAGTCGTGGGTTTGATCCCTGGGTCAGGAAGATCCTCTGGAGGAGGAAATAGCAACCCACTCCAGTGTTCTTGCCTGGGAAATCCCATGGACAGAGGAGCCTGGTAGGCTACAGTCCACGGGGTAGCAAAGAGTAGGACATGAATGAGCATGCGTACATGCACACACACTACACTAATCCTACGTTCCAGTGTTTGCTGACAACTTCTTGTCTTTATCCTGAATTTTATGGTCAAAATGCTGTGTTCAAAACTTATTTGGGCTAGTTCTTTCTCCTCAGTTCAGTGTGGTTATGTTATTCACTTGAAATATAGTTATGTTAATTTGTTTCTGTTTGTATGACATTTTAGGGCCCCTAATTTTATTTTATTAAACATTAATATGGATTCCAAAGACAAAATTATACAAGAAGATACAGAGAAATATCACTCTCCCACCATCACTTCAACCCAATTCCCATCCGTCCTCTGAAGGAAGCTCATTATTTTTTACTTTATCCTTCTGGTATTTGTAAAAATAAGTAGAAAAATGTATATTTTCTTATTTACTTTCTTTCTTACACAGAAGATGGCATACTATATATACTCTTGTTTTTCAGTTTTAAAGAATTTAAAAAGATATCCTAGAAATCACTCCTTCACATTCGTTCCTTTCTTATTAATTTGCCTTAGGCCTAGTATTATTGCCTGCCATTCTCTATATCTGCTGTTTTTCTATACTTTATAGAGTTCTCATTGCTGCTAGTAGGAGAGCCCTTATTATAGTTAATAATTGGACACCATTGGGATTAAAATCATTTTCTCTTTGAAAGGTTCCATTAAGATAATGAAAGTACATGTTACAAAATTGGAGGAATTTATATATTCTGTACACAGCTGATCTTTGCACAATGCAAGTTTGAATTGCACAGGCCCACTTACCTATATGTGGATTTTTTTCAGTAGTACTGCAGTACTACATGTTGGGCGATTGGCTGGATCCATGGATACAGAACTGGATACTGAGGAACTGCAGATGTGGAGGTCTGACTATAAGTTAAAAGTGGACTTTCATCTGTGCAGAGGGATGGCTCTCCCAACATCCCATTTTAAAAAAATAGATAACTTTCAATGAGCTTTTTAAAAAAAAATATTTTATTTTTGGCCATGATAGGTCTTTCTCTAGCTGTGGTGTAAGGGCTTGGTTGCCCTGCAGCATGTGGAATCTTTCCAGATCAGAGATCGAACCCATGTCCCCTACATTGGCAGATGGATTGTTAATCACTGGACCACCAGGGAAGTCTCTAATCCCCATTTTGTTGAAGGATCAACTACATGTTACTTGGAATATATAAAGAAATCTTTCAATTCAATGAGAAGACAAACAACCCAATAAAAATGTGCACTTAACTTTTTACAGTCTAATTAGAATTAATAATTTACCACTTGAAGTGACATGTAAAACCGTATCATCATAATAAGATCCTTTATCTTCCCCACTTTGTTCTATGGTTGTCATATGTACCACATACACTGAAGTGAAGTGAAAGTGAAAAAGTTGCTCAGTAGTGTCCGATTCTTTGCGACCCCATGGACTATACAGTCCATGGAATTCTCCAGGCCAGAATACTGGAGTGGGGAGCCTTTCCCTTCTCCAGACATACACTGAAAATCCTATCAAACAATGTTATAAATTTTACTTTCAGCTGACATACATATTCTCAAACTTAAGAGGAGAAAAATATCCAGCTATATTTACCTGGATATCATTTTCGTTGCTCTTGCTTAGTTTCTGAAGTTTGAATTTTCCCTCCAGTATTATTTCCATTCCATCTGAAAAACTTTTAGCATTTCTTTAATATTAAAGACATGTTGGCAATGAATTTTTTGAGATTCTTTCATCTAATAATGCCTTTATTTTACACTTATTTCTTGGAGGAATTGTGTGTTGACAATCCTTCTCTTTCAGTACCTAAAAAATGTACTGTTTCTTTCTGGTCTCCATTTCTGATGAGAAACACAGTCACTCACATTGTTGTTCCCCTGTGTATAATGCGTTGTTTTTCTTTGGTGGCTTTCAGATTAAAAGCAACTTAAAAGAACTGAAGTGTGGCTCATACACAGTGTCGCTGGCTTCAGGTGTACAGC